TGTTAGTGTTTTTCCACCTTGTTAACCTTTGAACCAGCTCTAGATGTAAATAAAAAAGTTGTAGAAAATTTCCTTAGCTTTCCAGAAAGTCTAGGATCACCTTTGGTTGATGCCTATAGATCTAGTTATGGTTGAAACAAGTGACTGCTGTGATGCTGGACAGAATCTGAGCATGTACCTAAAATTGTTTGCTTCACTTTACATTGCTTTGTATGCTTGTTAGTGTTAGCTCATGACACTACTAGAGTTAAATTGATCTACCTGAGATATCTTATAAATGTGTTATATAATGTTGGTCAAGCACGTAACTAATAAATAGTCATGTATGCATGTTGCCACAAAATGATCTGGATGCATGTTTTGCTAGAGCTTTAATTATGTTGGTGTCATTCACCGCAGCCCTAGTTCTTATGTGATGCTAGGCTTAATTAGTTCTTGATGGTTAAATGCCTGTAATAGTTTGACTTGAGTTAACTAGTGTGCCATGCTTGTTATGCTTGATATCCCTATGCTAGACTTGAGTGATAGCTAGTTAAATGACTTGCTCTCTAAGTGCATGTCTTGAGGTGTAACCTTATACACTACTACAGAACTGACATCTAGTCCCGGTTGGGAACTGGTTTTAGTCCCGGTTTCCCAACCGAGACTAGCGTTCCGAGACTAAATGTGGTGTTCTTTAGTCCCGGTTTGCCACAACCGGGACTAAAGATCCTCCCAGCTTAAAAAAAATAATGCCTTCCACCGCTGCGCCCTATGAGATTCGAACCCAAGACCTCATGCACTGCCTCGCGCGAGCTTACCACCCCACCTACATAACACATCTAACAATGGATGGGATGCTTTCCTTTTGAACTAACCCATCGGGGGACCTTTAGTCCCAGTTGGTGTTACCAACCGGGATTAAAGGGTCCTTTAGTCCGGGTTGGTGTTACCAACCGGGACTAAAGGGTCTACCTTTAGTCCCGGTTGGTATTACCAACCGGGACTAAAGGTTGAAGGACTTTTAGTCCCGGTTGGTGGTTCCAACCGGGAGTAAAGAAACCTTTAGTCCCGGTTGGTATTACCAACCGAGACTAAAGGAACCTTTAGTCCCGGGGGCAAAAAATACCGAGACTAATGGCAAATTGGGATATCGTTCTAAAGTCTGTTCTCTAGTAGTGATACTTGTCCTGAATGATTTTATATGATGCATCTCATATTACCATTCTTCGCATTCATGCACTTGCATTGTTGCATCTCATCTAGGTACGCTAGATGCACAATGCGTGGACATGAAGCACGTGATAATGGAGTCGAACTAGAAGACAGTGTTGGTGGACCTATCCCGAAGATGGAAGGACCCTTGGAGTGCATGCCTAGGGTGGAAGATGTTCCCCAAGATGGTGCAAGCTAACTAAACTGACTTTATGTCGGATCCCAAACAAGCCCCGGAGCATTCTAAGCCTCCTATGTTTTACAAATATCAACTTGAGTCCTTTTATGTTTGATACATTATATTATAGGAGTTGATTGAAACCACTTAATGCATAGAACTACCTTGTCCAGAAATATACCTTGAACCTTATGTAGGTCTAGGATCGAACATATGCTTAGCAATGCTTAGACCGGTAGAAGTCGGGTGATTTCCTATCACCTATGAGATATTGGTGGATACCGGAGCATGGTTGGCTATATTTGCTATCGTGGAAAAATAACCATGGGATGTAATCTAAGTGGAGACCGGGTGAGACTTCATATGCAATGGTGTTGGGTTGGCTATGTTGATCCCGTCTGTGTCGATTAAGAACCGTACCGTTGCTGGAACTTCTATCGAGATTGAGCGCATGCCTCTCACTTACCTGGCCGAATAACTCGTTCCGACCACGAAGCCAAGTAGCTCAACTCAGGCCGAGCCTTGTTCTATTAGAGTGCGCACAGTGGAGGTAGTAAGGATGTGCAGGGAGCCATTGAGAGCTAAGGGCAGGTTAGAGTCCTGATCAACCTAGCATCCGGTAGTGTCCCTGATTGTGCGGCGCTGATCGAACCCGTGAATTGGACCTGAGTTGTACCAAAGGTGACCTAAGACTACTTGGCGCAGGTATGTCTAGGTTTGTGTTAGGAATAACTGTCCAGCTAGTTGCAACTGATTTGAATCGTCGTCTCTCCCGGATAGTGAGAAACTCGACTAGCTCCAGCATCGTAGTAATTGAACTATGGAATTTGATGGTTATGATGAATATGGGAATGTTACACCGGCTATGGTTATTATTGTTATGCTACATAATCATACATCACATGTTTTGCACATGTTAGATGCTAATCTAGAGATGAATAGCTACAGCTTAACTTGGAATCGAATTATAAAATGTATAGCTCAACTAGTGGCTTTTTATGCAAAATGTTGTCAAGCCAGCTCCACTTACAAAGCCTTGCATGATCCTTGGTGTCACTTTATTTTTGGTTTATGACGAGTAAGTCTTGCTGAGTACATTCGAGTACTCAGGGTTTATCCCACCATGTTGCAGGTAAAGTCTCGGCCTGCTGAAGATGGTGGCTAACCGCCGGTGGGCTCGGCGACTCTATATAGTGTTCTTATCTATATGCTTTTATCAGAGGATGTCACTTATGCTAGCAATGTATTTGGAATTTATATTAATGTCATCATTTGAAAGCTATAATGTTTCGCTTAACCGGTTTTGAAAACCCAAACTTGTACTATTATTTGTGAATCGATTTGTAATATTTTTTCTGCTGCAACTCCGTGTATATGATGTGTATTTGCTTAATCGTGCGATCTTGGTTGTGATATTGATTTACCGAGGTCCTTCATGACACTCGGCGGACTACCGGTTTATATAAGTGAAAGTATGTACGCGTCAACGTGTTAAACGGGGGCAACCATACTTGCGGTTGTATGAATTAGGCGGTTCTATCACAAAAGTGTATAGATCATTTTCACATGTTTTTTTGTTATCAAAAAATATTAAAGTGGATATGAAACTAAGCATATTATGTTTCAAACACATAATTCACCATATGTGTGATGTCAAACATGTGAAGCAAGAATAAGATGCCACACAGTCTGGCAGTGTCAAATTATTTTGATTTCGAAAAAGAAATGGATAAACAGTAACACATCATCTAATATATATATAGTTCTATAAATATTGTAACTTATTATTTCAAGTTCCTGTCACACTATAATATCAATCTGTGTTTGTCCATTATAGGCCCCTTCCACACCTCCTAATATTCATGCATACAAGTTGTGAATCTGAAATACACACCACGTACTAACATGCATAATATTCACTTACTCTTTAAAATTAATGTTCAAAAAGATAAAATAAAAATTATAAATATACATTGAAATTGACCAAAAAACCTTTTCAAGAGTAACTAAAAAAGGACAACAAGACTTTCAGTGCAATCACAAAAAAATATTAATACCATAAACCTAAAAACTATACCAGCCATGTTATAATAAAAACATAACTATATGAACTGAGGGACTTGCTGTTGACATCAACTGTCACAGAATAGTTAGAACCATCTAGTACACATGTAATTTCACCCTATGTAGCTAATAATTGAGTTATTGAGGCTAAATAGAAGTAATTAAACAGTGTAAAGATTAGGTGCCGTACATCCTCCTTTCAAATAGACAATACATAGTTACTGATTGATAATTATTCTTGATGCATGGATCTTGTAAATTACCAATGCAGCAAGATCATAAATTGATATCCAACAAGTACAACATTTTTTCATGTTTATTTGAAAATGGGAGCTGCTAACCCTCTGACATTTGATGTGAAGCATCCGATGGGATGATCCATTATTGGAAAACATTACAAGGAGGTAAAAACAGAGCTTCTACAACATAGCTAGATGCCTAGATCAAGATATCTATAATCAGTGTCCTAAGCAAAGGGTCACATGAAGGTCAGAATATGTTTTGACATATTGAGACACGCTGGTGGAATCTTTGCAAAAAAACTTGAAAGAGAGAACATATTGAATTTTTGTGGCCATTTTGTTCTGGGCAATGCAACAAATGATAATAATGAATAATTGATGCAAAAAATGAAATAACCATTGCAACAAAAATTTTTTTGCAACACACACACAACTACAAATTGCAAAATCTAAGAATAGTAGCCACACAAAAAAGGCAAAATTAAATGTGTGACAAATAATATGAAAATCCAAGAAAATCGACACCGAGAGATTGCTTATCCTTGTTAATATACCGATGTGTTTGTTGGAGCTCCAAGTATAGGGAGGGAGACAGTGAGTCTCAAGTAAATGCCCCATTTTCTTTTCCATACACAACACGCTGCAAAACCTTATATACATGCAATCCGACAACTAAACAACTTGATGAGGACAGTCGGCCACCACGAATGCATCAACTTAAAGAACTCTAAATTATTGAATTGTATTTTGGCAAAGCATGCATATCATCATCTAACGCACACAAGGTCTAAACTTAATTGAATTAACTCTTGAATACAAGCAATAATGAACAAGCTCACCTTGGCTCAAATTGGTTTGCTCATTCAGCCCCTTCAACTTTATTTGCAACTCGCTGATCTCAGTCTTGAGATTATCAACCATCTCCTGGGATAGACAAATAATATAAATATGAACAACCTACATTGTCACTCGAGAAATAATGCTATTACTGCATGTTGTGGCCGGCACACAACTACAAAACAAACCTGGTGCGGCTGCACTTGTGCGGATAATGACGTGCACTCCATCTTTAGTGCATCAGCTCAGCACTGAAGATCTTGGAGGTGGTTTGCCTTTTGCACCTTCAGCCGTGCCACGTATTCCCGGTTACGAAGAATCCTGCAATTTATACAAGAATTGAAAAGCAGGAAATTAAGATCATTAGAGGCAGAACTAAAAGGTTGAGCACTTTGATAAATATATACACCACATGCATGTCCACTGCACATTGAACATGAGATATTGGAAATCCATGAATGAACGTAACGTACCTCTTGACCCTCTTAGCTAGGATCTGTTTTCACGAGCTCCTTGAGTTTGTTCTCCTTATTGATCGTCTGCATGTCGGCCTCAGAGAAGAAGTGCTCCTTGGTGCAGCCCCTTCGTGGCATGTTGCTGCTAGCGCCAGCCCCAAGAGCTGGAGACCGTGGTGGCAACCCGGGTCTGTCCATGCCCCCAAGTATCAGCTTTGGCATGGCGGGGACATGGGTGGAATTTTCCACAGACAAGGAGCTGTAGTTCCATGGCGCTTGTGGCCCGTCACTACAGCTGCTGCCACCAATGCTCATCATGTCGAATGTTGGCCAACGCCGGCACGGCTTCTCAGCCTTGGCTACTGCCTGCGACGCTGCTAGCCATGCTCTGGTCGCTGCTGCTGCTCACAGTGGATGACCACAGGGATAGCAGGTTGCTCAGCTGTTGTAGCGCTTGCTCCTTCGACCGGGAATACATATACATGGGCATGGAACCGTGACAGTTCCAGGGAATGCTGCTACTACTCGATGAAGGCTGCACGAAACCAGTGCTAGAGACTCAGTGTATGAACCGTTATTCTGTGATAGCTGCCCTAACGGTGGTGGCAGCGGCGGCAGACCATACTGTCATGTTTCTAGGCTCGACGGCAATGGAGGAAGCTCTGTGTCCGACGATGGCTGCGCGTGGTCAGCCGAGCATGAAGAGGACTTGAAAATGGTGCTCCCGCTAGGTGGAGAAATGCTGCGATGTCGCTGGCGGCTCGAACCCAGAGAAGATCCTGCTGGGCAGATCGGTGGAGGAGGACGGCTGCATCTGCTGTGGCTGCGACGGTGGCAAAGGGAACCCGGAGAACTTGCCGCCGGGCAGAGGCTGCAGACTAGAATACGACGGCTGCGCCTGCTGTTGCTGCAATGGCGGCGGCGCGAACCCAGGGAGGCCTCGCATGGTGAGAGCCTGCTGCTGTTGCGACGCGGACGGGAAGCCGGAGAAGTCCCCGATGGGAATGGGCGTATGATGATGGGAGTGGAGCGTCGTCAACGACGACGACGACCGCGTCATTTCTTACTCCTGCTGGCAGTGGAGCAACGGGCGCTGGGTCATTTCTTGCGCGTTCAGATCACCGAAGAGGTTGGTGCCCATCCTACAGATTGCGCTAAGCTCCGAGAGGAAGGGTGAGGGAAGGGAGTGCGTGAGCCGGCTTCTTGGGCGTGGGCAGCGTTTCGCAGCCGTCCCTGGCGAAGGCGAGATCTGATGGAACTGGGATGAGGACGAACCTGCCGCGGAGCCACCAGAGGCAGCAGCAGAGCCGAGAGAGGCGAGGTGGCCGGGCAACGGTGCTGGTGTCGGCGGCGGACAGAGCGATGGCGACGAGCGGCGCTGGGAGTGCGTCGACGACGACACGCCGAGGAAAGCGGAGGACATGGAACCGTGAATCGAGCGAGAGGACGATGAAGAACCTGAGCTGGCGGGGGAGGAAGCGGCGGTGTTTGCCGCTTGTTTCTTGTGCTGCTGCTCCATGGTTCTCTTCCGATCAAGATTTCAAGGGTGCGAACGGGACGAGCGGCGAGGAATCTGGCGGCGGCGGCGGGACGAACAGCTGGAATGGGAGCGCCGCCTGAGCTGCCGAGCAAATGGAGAAAGAAAAGAGAGACAGGAGCGTACTGGCTTTTTGACTGCTGACGTCCGAGGGTTTCGGGAGGGGGAGGAACCACGTTTTCGAAGCTTTCCATTTATAGCGCGATCGGATATTCTTTTGTTTGGTCGAGGTGGGAGATATCTCCCCAGATACGTTTTTTTAGTGGAATCTCCCCAGATACGTGCATTTATAATTTCTTATAGGGGCTTTTTTCTTTTTGAGGGTATATATGGGCTTACATATGATGTTCATAATTTGGCCCAATCTCAGGAATTTCTTCCCAAAATCATGGAGTTTTTCAACTCACAAAAAAGTATTGGGACAAATAAATAAGATTATGCCCAACAGTTTTCAATAATTCACTCTAAAATATAGCAGACAATTTTATATTAGGAATCATATACTATTTTTAGATTATCTTAACCATTTTTATATATTTTTTCTCTCTTATACATTTGCTTCAAGAACTCTCTCCTACTTTTTATTTTTTTCCACGTCCTTTCACCTTAGATTGGCAGACCGATACACACATCTTTCATGTGCTGATATATCTGCGCTTTCGATGATTTTTTTCAAGTGCCAAAAGATTGGAGATGGGATTAGAAACTCTTAAAGATATAGGTTTTTTCTATTCTTGCCAAAAATCAGATTGGGAGGCTTTATTGGAAACTCTTGAAGATGCTCTTACATTTCTCAACCTTGTTCGGCTGTAACCCAATTCCAAAACTCTAGAAGCCCTGGTTTAGGTCTCTAAACACTGTTTGGATCTTGGAGCCAGTCAAAATCCGTACTTTGTATGCTTGACATGAGAGACCCACAAGTCAGCTCCACCTCCCTCCTTACTATTCTCTCTCTTCTCGGCTCTATTGTCTCTCTTCCCACTTGAGCTCTCTCTTCCCTAGGTGGCACGGATTGAGAGGCATGACATGTGTTATTCGTTGTCATAGCCCTTGCTTCGTGACAACTGAGATGGCGACAACCAATGAGGGCATTGTAGCGACCGCCCTCAAAGCGATGCTAGATGGCTTCTTGCATTACTGGAAACTTGAATTTTCATGTCGGGGCAAAACCGATAGCGAAATAGCAAATACCGACAGAAAAATTGGGAAATTAATTTCCTGTCGATACACCGATAGAAACTACTTTTTCATGTCGTCCAAATTTTTATGGCTGGGTTCTTCCACTCAATGAACTATTTTTTCCTTCAAGGATTTTGGGCTCACTTGATCGAGTCTGAACTGCTAGGGTTAGATCTCTAGAGGCCGACCACGCGCGGTGAACTGTTGTGCTCTGGTTGTATCTATCAATCTGGACAAACTCATGAGGCGTGTTCACACGATTGTTGACATTTCTTAGCATCGCTCTTTACTAAGTTGTCATCCAAGCATGATGTCAGAAATGCGTTGTTGGTAATTATAAATGACATTTGAAAATTTAAAGGAAAATTATATATAAAAGTATCCACAAGCGCACAGATAATATACCATTGTAGCATTTCACCCGGGAGTTCGTTATTTATATTTTAGCCACAGGGAGAAGCTATGGAGTTGTGTTGACATAGAGATATTGACAAATATATATACTTATGATAAAACCACTCACATGCTATGGTAGGGGTAAGTCAAATGATAAATAAATAATAAGTATAAGGTAATAATGATATTCCAGAGATAGAAATAGAGACTCATAAAATGTAGTACGACTAAGCAGGAGATTCGTTAAATGCAAAAGATTCCTAAGTCATTCCTTATTTACTAAGTCTTTTGTACACCCAAATATATACACTCTCATCTATAGTATAACTAACTTTGGATCTGTGCATAAGGAACATTACTAAAGAAGACCAAGAACAGAGCTTGTTTTCCTTCGCAACTGCGTTCTACTTGCTCTACAAACGGGGAGTGGATTACAAAGGACTCAATGGGAGTGTCACATCCATGATCTACCACATGATCCAGAGTGCAGAATGCATCCATAGGCAAACAATATCTAAGCGCCATGCTTTACATAATGTCGACCACTTAACTCACTCGAGTACTGAGCTAAGAGCTTTGCGAACATATGCATATATTCATCATCAATCATAACTATATCAAGCATATAACTAGAGCAAACTAGAAACATAATAAATAGCAACATAATATTGAAGTAACACAAAGTCATAAATTTAGATACAATGGCTACACCAGTCTCTAGATGGCAGATCTGAAATCCTATGCAATAGCCCACACTCTACTCGAACCTTGCTAGCTAGCCTATACTATAACTTTAAGGAATTGGAGCTCTATTCTCTTCTCTCTGGAAACCCTAATTTCTGGTCTGATCTTGACTTATGGCAGCGTGCTCTAGAGGGGCGCCAAGGGCTGGTTATATAGGCTGGTGTGTCAATCCTGAGCTCTCGGATCAAACTGACTTGAAAGAACGGCGTAGATGTAATCCTTAAGACAGTGGAGAACCGACGTACGAAGGAGGGACTGCCAAGTGGCCCTAGGGGGCTGGGCGGCCTGTCCGTGGGGCCGGCCCCACCTGGTAGCCTCCTACCCTCTACTTCGGTGACGTGGCTTCTAGAGTCATCTGGAACCTTCTAGAGTAGTTTTCGCGGCGGATAAGCACGATTTAATTTAATGTTTTGATCCCCCTTGATGGTTTTATGAAATAACCCTATTGAAAACATAGATTCACCGAAACTCATGAAAATTGTTAGTTTAAACCCCTAAGTCTATATTGGTGATCATTTTCATGCATTATTTCAAGTTATATTGATGTTTATAATGGATGATAACTACCGTCAACAAACTCCTCCAAGCTTAACCTTTGCTAGTCCCTGAGCAAAGCTAAACTTATCAATGGATCAAGAGTTTAGGATCTTTGAAAACATTGTAGCAACTCCTCGAAAGTACACATGCATTCAAACAATAATTCTCCTCCAGATTAGAACAAACTGATCTGTCTTTCAAACTTACCCACATTACCTTCAACTATGGGGCTTGTAGCCTTCACTTGGGTCTTGAGTAATTGAAAGACAGAATGATCAAGTCAAGCACTATATCTCATGTTCTTTGTTCAACCATTATTCCAGAGTTTTTGCAAGTTTTCAAAATAAAACTAATAGATTCCATTGTATGACACTCTCAAATCTCTCAAAAATATATGGTATTTGTGGATCCTCACCAAGGCAATAGTAATGTTATGCCTTTCTTTTCCTACAACTAAGGCTTATGTGGAGCTCATAGGAATGGTGATAACATAAAAGAGCATTCTTGCAATACATATATTGTAAAGTCAAACCTTGGATCCAAACAAAGTTAAGTCATACAATCAAATCAAGATATGTATGTGTGTGGAATATATGGTGGCTATCCTAATTCTACTATGCTCCTTGAAAACATATCTCTCTTTTGGTACTTGGAAACATTTGGAAGAAAACATGGACCATCTTATTCATCTCTTTCTTTTTTAGGCGAGCATCTAAGTACCCATTATTTTAAATATCTCGGACACTTATCCATTTTTTCTCAACTCTTTTCTCTTTTTTATGAATAACTTTTGCATAGCCCATGCTTCTTTTCTGCATAGCAATTGTTGAAGAGATAGTAACAAGAATTTGGAGCATCTATTCGATGGAAACCTATGAAGCATATTTTTAGTGTTTTCTCCCAGTGTAGGAGTAAAACATTTTTGGGTGGATCTAGATGGAAAGCATGTTTTTGCGCCTATCCCCAGTGTAGGAATAGTGCATATGTGGGTGGTGTGTACGTGATCTTGATTTTAAGAGCATGACAAACCTCTCATAAGGGTCAACAAAGCTTGACTTAACTCAATGCTAAATAAGTAGCATATGAGTATAAGTTTTTCTAGCCTAAATATAAACATGTTTGGCTCTAGTAGGAATTCAAACTTGTCATACAGGATCTCATCATGTGGAATTTTTATGTTTTTCAAAAGATAAATCTCCAGAACTTTAGTATCACTTGGAACAAGATAAATAGCAGCTTATACCTTTTCATATCATATCCATCAATTACCTCGACTTAGATCAAGCATTACTATCCACGAGTTTCAAGTTCAGAGCAAATTCTTATGTCAAATCAATTTTATCCAAAACTTGGGAGAATTCTAGGCTGAAAACTAGGCACTTGAAATGATTATAACAGAGCAACAATTCATCAATTCCATTGTGAAAATTCATCTTCAAGTTCTTTTTATTTATTGGCTCTTAAAAATAGAAATTTAAAGCAAACTTTATACACACTCTTTTTGTTTGGTTTTTTTAGATCACTCCACAATAATATATATATAAGATAAAGGTAATTTTTTATTTTGTTTTCTTAGTTATGCATTTTTTAATATAATACAAATTTGAAAATTAACTAAAGAAAATAATAAAATACAAGAAAGAAAACTTACCTCATGTAATGGGGGC